GAATTGGAGCAAACACTCCTGAAATTCATATGTAACAATAAGCCCCCACGAATAGCTAAAGCAATTCTTGGGAAAAAGAAAATGGGAGGAATCAACTTCCCTAACTTCAAACTCTACTACAAGGCAGTAATAATTAAAACAGCATGGTACTGGAACAAAGGCAGAGCTGTAGACCAATGGAACAGGGTTGAATATACTGACGTCCCCCACCCAACCATACAAGCATCTAATCTTCGATAAGGGGGCAAGAAAAGTGAAGTGGAGCAGGGAAAGCCTGTTTAACAAATTATGCTGGCAAAACTGGACGGCTATATGCAAAAAAATGGGCTCAGATCTCTGCCTAACTCCATGTACAAAAGTAAGATCTAAGTGAATTAAATACCTCAACATCAGACTGGAATCTATAAGATACATGGACAGATACTTTGAAAAGAGCCAAGAACACAAAATGGAAAAAGTGTCTTCAATAAATTGTAATGGGAAAAATAGGAATGTATTTGAGAAAGAATGCAATTGGATCCCTCTTATATATCACATAAGAAAATGTACTCAAAATGGATTACAGTCTGGATATTAGATTCAAAAATATAAAAGGATAGTGTGGGTGAAGTAGTATGCAGCATTGCAAGTATTAAGAGAAATTAGTTGTAGTAAACTATTTTATCTCATTTTTTAAGCATGAAGCTTTCTTTAACACAAAACATACAAACCACCTTGACGTTTTGGTTTTGCGTTAAATAAATATCTTAGAGTCATAAAATTATTTAAGGAGCCAATTTCTGCTATCATCTATAGTATTTGTGATGGTGGGGAAAAAGAAGATCATTTTTGGGCTTCAGTTTATCTCACTGTGGAAAGTGAGGATAATAACAATTTTGTTGTGTCCTTTGATATTTTATGCCATATCTACCAAATTTCCCTCTATCCTCAATTTTTTGAGAGGTCCATCCATCTCTTTGCTCCAACAGTCTGACTATGTCTCATAATTATGTGCCATAAATTATGTCTTATAAAATATAAAAACACTTTGTTTTCACAAAGGAGGAATTTAATGCTTGGAGAGATAGCACAGTGGTAGGGTGTTTGCCTTGCGCATAGCTGGCCTGGCTGAGCCAGGTTTGATTCCTCCACCCCTCTCGGAGAGCCCGGCAAGCTACCGAGAGTATCTTGTATCAAGGCAAAGTCTGGCAAGCTACCTGTGATGTATTCAATATGCCAAAAACAGTAACAACAAGTCTCATGATGGAGACGTTACTAGGCCTGCTCGAGCAAATTGATGAACAACAGGAGGACAGTGCTACAGTGCTATGGTATTTAAAACACACTTATAGTGGAGTGGGCAGCATCCTCTTCTCCAGAGACACTGCCCTAATATTCCCTCCTATCCTTGATTCTTATAGAAGTCTTATTGTTATGAGAGTTATGGAGGCTATAAATATTTAACTTTTTGTTGTTCTCAAACAACACTGCTTTCTACTGATCTCCTAGCTAATTTCCTTCCTTAATTGATGTACTGAGGATGGGTCACAATTTATCCCTCAGACCTTTATTGACAGAATATTAAGTAATTATCATAATTATAAAAGAGCTTCCTAATAACTTGACTTCGCAGTTCCTTGAACTCTTGATCTTACTCCAACACTATTTTGATTAATCTCTCAGGTTGCTTTTTATTGTTCTTCAGAAAATTGTACTTTGGAAAATAATCTAGTGCTTGATAAAACATATATTTTGATAGTCATTGCTTTTGGCCAAATTTTGTTTGTTAAATGCAGAAGAATATTCTAAAAGCGATTTCAAACCAAAATTATTTTGTTCAACTACAACTATTCTACTTTTGATAGGTTTTATAATCTGGGAGTAAGATCAATAACCTGAATAAAGGACCAGCGATATAGTATAGGGATTAAGATGATGGCCTTGCTTGTGGTCACTTTCAATTCAATCCCAGGTACCACTTGGTTTCCTGAGCATGGTTGGGTGTAGTCTTTGAGCCCTGCCTCATGCCTCCCCCATTAGCCAGGACTACTATGTGTGGCTGAAGTCTCCTTAGCACCACTGGGTGACCAGGTAATCTCTGGTGCCACTGGGCCCAAGCAACAGTGCATCCTTGGGCCCTAGCACCGAGCCACTGACTGGCCATGTTCCCTGAGAATTGCCACAATGAAAAGAAATCCAGGTTGAAGAATTAAAATTAAAAACCGGCTTATGAAACAAAACTTGTCCTTTTGTGGAAGGAAATTTGGGGGGATATTTTAGTCATATTGATTTCTTGAACTTTCATGGAATGAAAGTACATTGACCCTTCTAACTTTTAACTGAAAATGTCCAAACCTCACTGTAAAGTCAACTTTGAGCTATTATTGAGTGTACCAACAGACAGTAAACAGTAATAATAATAGTATTTCTTGGTGTCTATGAATTTATATCTCTTGTATTTGCTCCTATCAAGCAACAAACAGGTTGTTGTAATTTGCAAATTGTTTATAAAACCTATCTCATAAAACTATTATAATGGCTGAATAATCATGAATGTGAAGATTTGTCAAATATATATTTTGATTTTGTCAAGCTTTTGTACAAACGTGGTCTCTTAGAGATCAATCTGCTGAGATAACTACAAAGAGCCATAGTTCAAACACTGCTGCTGAAGAACTTGAGAATTTGACATTTTATCTCTAAAATATATCCCAAATTCAACATCTAGTGCTCACAGTTGCCCTCTTCTAGAGAAAAGCTTGTATAGCTTACTTGGATCAATTCAAAAGTTTAGTTCAGTCCTTTTGACAAAAAAATCAAGTTTTTCCAAAGAGTCTTAGCAATCCATTTTAAATGTTGATCTGATCATAAATTCTTCAAACCTTCTAACAAATATCATAAAATCCTCTGAGTGTATAAAAAAATGCTTCAAAATCTTTATCATGACTAATAATAGTCATTATTCATGATCAATTTTGAACACTTTTTCCTCTTTAATTTATGTAATTTAACACATCTGTCACTTTATTTAATTTATTTTTTTATGTAGGAGTACTGCTATTTATTCAGCCACTGATTAGCTGATTGAGTTGGGCATAAACTCCACCTTAATTTTTTTCATAATTTGATTTATCTTTTTCTTCTTATATTTATCCATTGAATCACTGTGGGAAAAGTTGCTAAGCTTTCAGGTTTAAGTCTCGGTCATACAATGATCAAACACCTCTCCCTTCACCAGAAAATTTTTCACCACCAAGAACAAAAATATACCCCCCTCCCTCACCCCTCCCAATGCCTGTGAGGCAGATGATTTCCACTTAACTCTTCTCTAAATTGATTACATTCATTGTTTCGACAAAAGATGCACCATTATTGTTTAGAATCCCCCCCCCCCCAACAACAATCAGAACTGCTGAAAAGGCATTGTGAAATACTTTGTTTTTTATAGCTGGTTATGAGAATCATATAATGTCACGCAGCCGCCATTTTGGATTTCTGCAAAGAGCCAGATAATTACGAGATTGGTTCTGTGCATCTGGTGTTATGGCTGTGCCAGAGAGCCGCTCATGGGGGGCAACTCGTGACCTTGGTAGGGCGTGAAGGACGAGCCGGTACCATCCCCCTTCCCATGAGACTGCAGTTGCCCTGTCACTACTGGCTCATACCTGGCTTTCCAAGAAGCTCTGAGGCAGCAGCCACCCTGCATGCAGTTCAGATGCATTTCTGCCAAAAGCCGCTGGGTTTCGAGATTTGTTTCTGAGTCTCTGGGATCATGGTTGTTAATCAGCTTGATCAGTAGCCAGAGAGGCCATTTGTAGGAGGCGACTTGGGGTCTCACTGGGATGGGGAGGAAAGAGCTGGTTCCACCCTCATCTGGTGAGGCCCCACGTGTCTCGTCACTGCAGGCCCAAACCTGACTGTCCAGTGGCCTCTGGAGGATGGTGGTCACTGGGCCGCCAAGGGGAACAGGCTAAGGCATGAAACCTATTCCCACGTGGAGTGGCCCAGTGCCAGTAACCTACTGCAGGAACAGGATGCATTTCTGCCAAAAGTCTTTGGGTTCCGAGGTTCTTTACTGAGTATCTGGGATCATGGCCATTAAGCAGTTCGATCAGGAACCAGAGAGGCCATGCCTCCAATCATATAGCTATGCCGGAGGTGGTTTGAGGGTGTGTCTTCCACATACCTAACTTTGGGCCATTTACTTTCTTGGTAAACTTTGCCCCAAGTTTTTGGGGTCTGGCCAAAGGCACAGCAGCAATTTTGGGGTATCTGAAAGCCTGATGATTCCATCAGGCTGCTGATGCACTCGCCTCACAGGTACAGATTGACCTGCTGGTGGCACCATAGCCCCTGTCACTTTATTTTATATATCTTAGAATTTTATCACTTTATTGCAGAAATATAAAATCTTGTGATGAAGGGCATTTTCTTTTTATGTTCCATGCTGTAAACCTGTGTTTAAAATAGTGCATAAGACATAAGAAGTACCAAGTCACAATTTCTGAGTAAATGAATCTCTAGAGATCTGTTGATTTAGTTGCACATCCGTCATATTTTCTAAGACCACATCTTAAGTCTATCACCAGAAATCATCTTATCTTAAACCCAAAACATCATTTTTTAATGTTGTTCTTATGCATTGGCATAATAGAAATAACATATTTTAGCCTTAAATTTTGTATTTTTAAAAATTTATAAGGGCTAAGCCCAGAAGTACTCAGACCCTGGACAATGATTCTCAGTTATTACAAGATTGGTTCCTAACAGTATTTGGGGCTGTTTTGAGGACTGAATTAAGTGTTATGCTCATGGTAAGTATGTGCTTGACCGTCTGTGTTATTTCCATAATCCCAGAGTTTAAACTCTTTCAGATGTTTAGTCTATTGGCCTTTCCGTTTAGACTAGATTTCAGACTCTTTTAATGACTTAAAGTGAAAGATTCATCAACATAAGCAAATCTTCGTGTGAACCTGTAAACATTTTTTTTCTTCTTTCTACCCTACCCCAAAAACTGAAATCTAAACTTTTACATTCATTGTGTCTAAATTCTTGGCCACCAGCTTCTTGTCCCGCTCACCTGCGTGCTTCTTGGCCATGGGCCCCTCAGCACCCCCCACACCCGCAGCGGTGGCTGGGGCCCCTGAGGGTGCCGCGGCTGTGCTTGGGGCACCGCCATGGATCTCCGTGAGCAGGCGGGCCCATGCTGCGTACTCCTCATAGTTCTCCAGCAGTAGCCGGCCTGCCTCCTCGTTGAGGGCTGACTCAGGGTTTGGGTGGATCAGCAGGCACTTGATGGTCAGCAGCACGTGCCGGATGCCCAGCTTGGCTGTCCAGTCCCTCTTGAGCACATTGACACAGATATCCCCATTGGCACCCACATTGGGATGGAAGATCTTGGTTAGGAAGAAGCCCTTGGGCGGAGAGGCAGGAAAGTCCTTCCCTAGCAGGAGCTTCATGAGGAACAGGCCTCCTGCATAGGGGGTGCCCTCAGGCCCCTGGATGGTGACTTGCAGGTCGGTGAGGTCCTCCTCATTGGGGAAGACTTTGATGCCATCGGGAGGGTCAGCGGTCAGCGTGGCCACCGCTGAAATAGCTAAGAGGACGAAGAACCTCCGGCTCCGGGCACATCTCTTTGATTGCACTGTTCTTCCTGCATTAACATATGCCTCAGAGACCTGGGCCCTACGCAAACAGGATGAGAACGCTATTCAGGTCTCCCAAAGAAGAATAGAAAGAGCTATGCTTGGAATATCACGTTTCACTCAAATGAGAGAAAGAATCCGGAGTTCCGACATCCCTCGACGATCAAGAATCAGGGACGCTGTCTCATTTGCCAAGGTGTCAAAAATCGGATGGGTTGGTCACGTAATGAGATTTAAAGACGACAGCTGGACTAGAGCTGTTACTGACTGGATTCCACGGGATGTCAAAAGAACGTGTGGCCGCCCACCTACCAGGTGGTCAGACTTCTTCGTGAAGATCATGAATGATCGGTTTGAGGCTCTTCATGTTCCCAGAGCGAACAGATGCCATTGGGCTACACTCGCACACGACAGGGACAAATGGAGACGTTACTGGTGCCTGCTCGAGCAAATCGATGACTAATCGGAAGTTAAGTGATTATTAAGTGATTTAAATGTCTAAATTCATGTGGTCAATTTTTGCAAGAAAATATTTATAACTGGGCAAAATGATTCATTAAAACTTTATGATCATGAACTGCACATGATTTCCTGGCAACCTTATATTATTTTTTTCCCTTTTATTTTATTTAATTTTTTTTACAGTTGTAAATTTACAATTTTTTGTGCTTTGGTTTCAATTATACAATGATCAGATACCCATCCCTCCACCAGTGCCCATTTTCCACCACCATAGATAATATCCCTCCCACCCCCATCCCCCCATCCCCCCTGTCTCTGAGGCAGGGCAATCCCCTGTGTTCTCTCTCTCCTTTTGGGTGTTGTGGTCTGCAAAAGAGGCATTGAGTGGCAAACATGTTCAGTCCATAGTCTACTTTCGACATGCATCTCCCCTCCTGGGAGGATCCTCCAAACATCCTTTATTTGGTGCTCCCTTCTCTATCTGAACTGCCCTTTCCTCTAGGATACCCGGCTGGCCTCTAAGTTATGGAGTAATCCTCCTGGTGCTGATCTCAGCTATTCTTGGGTATTAATCTCATACTTTGTTACTTTATATCCCCCAGATGAATGCAATCTTTCTATGTCTATCCCTCTCTTTCTGACTCATTTCGCTTAGCATGATACTTTCCATATTGTACCACTTGTATGTAAATTTCATGACTTCATCTTTTCTAACAGCTACATAGTACTCCATTGTGTAGATGTACCAAAGTTTCTTTAACCAGTCATCTGTTCTTGGGCATTCAGGTTTCTTCCAGTTTCTGGCTATTGTAAAGAGTGCTGCAATGAACAAACAAGTGCAGATGTCAATTCGACTATACATTTTTGCCTCTCTGGGATATATTCCCAAGAGTGGTATTGCTGGGTCAAATGGGAGCTCAATTTCTAATTTTTTGAGAATCGTCCATACTGTTTTCCAGAAGGGCTGAACCAGTGGACATTCCCACCAACAGTGAAGGAGTGTCCCTTTCTCGCCACATCCACGCCAGCATCGGTTGCTTTTGTTCTTTTGAATGTGGGCCAGTCTCTGAGGTGTGAGATGGTATCTCATTGTGGTTTTGATCTGCATCTCCCTGATGATTAATGATGTAGAGCATTTTCTCATGTGCTTTTTTGCCATTCGGATTTCTTCTTTGAGAAAGTTTCTGTTCATTTCATTGCCCCATTTTTGGATGGGGTTGGATGTTTTCTTCTTGTGGAGTTTAACCAGTATTTTGTATATCCTGGATATCAACCCCTTGTCAGATGTGTATTCGGTGAATATCCTTTCCCATTCTGTAGACTGTCTTTGTATTTTGGTCACTGTTTCTTTGGAGGTGCAGAAGCTTCTTAGTTTAAGATAGTCCCATTTATCTATCTCTGTTTTCACTTGCTTGGCCAGTGGCATGGCATCTTTGAAGATACCATTAGCTTCAATGTCATGGAGGGTTTTGCCAACATTATCTTCAATGTACCTTATGGTTTCTGGTCTGATGTTGAGGTCTTTAATCCATTTTGATCTTACTTTTGTACATGGTGTTAGGCAGAGTTCTGAGCCTATTTTTTTGCATGTAGCCGTCCAGTGATGCCAACACAATTTAATAAAGAGGCTTTCCTTACTCCACTTCACATTACTTGCACCTTTATCAAAGATTAGATGAGCATATGATTGAGGGGAGATGTCAGTGTATTCAACCCTGTTCCATTGGTCTGCAGTTCTGCCTTTGTTCCAGTACCATGCTCTTTTAATTATTACTGCTTTGTAGTACAGTTTGAAGTTCGGGAGGTTGATTTCTCCCATTTTCTTTTTCCCAAGAATTGCTTTAGCTATTCGTGGGGGCTTATTGTTCCATATAAATTTCAGGAGTGTTTGCTCCAATTCTTTGAAGAATGTCATGAGTATCCTTATAGGGATTGCATTGAATTTATATAATGCTTTCGGTAGTATTGCCATTTTGACAATGTTAAGTCTCCCGACCCATGAAGGGGATATCTTTCCATTTCCTCATGTCCTCTTTTATTTCCTGAAGTAGCTTTTTATAGTTTTCTTCGTACAGGTCCTTTACTTCCTTAGTTAAGCTGATTCCTAGATACTTGATTTTCTGGGGCACAATTGTGAACGGGATTGTTTTTTTCATGTTACTTTCTTCTCTCTCACTTTTGCGTACAGGAAAGCCATGGACTTTTGGGTATTGATTTTATAACCTGCAACTTTACTATACGAGTCTATTGTTTCTAGGAGTTTTTTGGTGGAGGTTATTGGGTTCTCTAAGTAGAGTATCATATCATCTGCGAATAGTGAGAGCTTGATTTCTTCCTTTCCTACCTGAATGCTCTTAATATCTTTTTCCTGCCTAATCGCTATTGCAAGTACTTCCAGTACTATATTGAACAGCAGTGGAGAGAGTGGGCATCCCTGTCTCGTCCCTGATCTTAGAGGGAAGGCTCTCAGTTTTTCCCCATTGAGGATGATGCTTGCTGTAGGCTTGTGGTAGATGGCTTTAATTATGTTGAGGAAGGTCCCCTCTATACCCATTTTGGCTAGGGTTTTCATCATAAAGGGGTGCTGGATCTTATCAAATGCTTTCTCTGCATCTATTGATATGATCATATGCTTTTTATCTTTTCTTTTGTTGATATGGTGGATTATGTTGATTGATTTCCGAATGTTAAACCATCCTTGCATCCCTGGGATGAATCCTACTTGGTCATGGTGTATGATCTTTTTGATGAGTAGATGGATTCTATTTGCTAGTAGTTTGTTGAGGATCTTTGCATCTGTGTTCATCAGGGATATCGGCCTGTAATTCTCTTTCTTTGTGGTATCTCTGTCTGCTTTTGCTATCAGTGTGATATTTGCTTCGTAGCAACTGTTTGGAAGTGTTTTTGATATTTCAATTTCGTGGAAAAGATTAAAGAGTATTAGGAGTAAGTCCTCTTTAAAGATTTGGAAGAATTTACTAGTGAATCCATCCGGGCCAGGACTTTTGTGCTTGGGGAGACTTTTTATTACCATTTCAATTTCCTTGATGGTGACAGGTCTGTTCAGGTATTCCAGGTCTTCTTGGTTCATCCTTGGGAGTCTGTAGGAGTCTAGGAATTTATCCATTTCCTCGAGGTTTTGATGTTCCGTGGCATAAAGCTTCTCAAAGTACTCCCTGAGGATCCTCTGAATTTCTGTGGTTTCTGTTGTAATGACCCCCTTTTCATTTCTGATTCGGTTTATTAGGGTTTTCTCTCTCCCTTTCTTTGTGAATTTTGCTAGAGGCTTATCAATCTTGTTAATTTTCTCAAAGAACCAGCTTTTGGTTTCATTGATCTTTCGGATTGTTTTTTGGGTTTCCATCTCGTTAATCTCTGCTCTGAGTTTTATTATTTCCTTTCTCCTGTTCGGGTTGTGCTCCTTTTTTTGGTCCTTCTCCAAGCTCTTAAGCTGTGAGGTTAGGTTACTTATGTGTGCTCGCTCCTCCTTCCTGAGGAATGCTTGTAGAGCTATAAACTTTCCTCTTAACACAGCCTTTGCTGTGTCCCATAAGTTTTGGTAACTCGTGTTCTCATTTTCATTCGTTTCTAGGAATCTTTTGATTTCCTCTTTGATTTCCTGTCTAATCCACTCGTTGTTCAATAGTGCACTGTTTAATTTCCAGGTATTTGATTTAGTTTTCTATTTTTGTGTGTGATTTACTTCTAATTTCAGCGCATTATGGTCTGAGAAGATTGTTGATACAATCTCTACCTTCTTAATTTTATGGAGGCAAGTTTTGTGACTCAGCATGTGATCTATCTTGGAGAATGTTCCATGTACGGTTGAGAAGAATGTGTATTCAGCTTTTTGTGGATGAAGTGTCCTGTATATATCTACTAAGTCCCTTTCTTCCATTGTTTCCCTCAAATGAAGTATGTCCTTGCTAAGCTTGAGTCTGGTTGATCTATCAAGAGGTGACAAAGCAGTGTTGAAGTCTCCCACTAGTATTGTGTTGCTATTGGTGTCTTTTTCCAAATCTATGAGTAGTTGTTTTAAGTACTTTGCTGGTCTCTCATTAGGTGCATATACATTTATTATTGTAAGTTCTTCCTGTTGTACAGATCCTTTGATCAATAAGAAATGGCCTTCACTGTCTCTTATGACCTTCCTCACTCGGAAATCGATGTGGTCTGATATAAGGATGGCTACCCCAGCTTTTTTATGGTAGCTGTTTGCCTGTAGGATTGTTTTCCAGCCTTTGACTCTGACTCTGTGTTTGCTTTGACTATTGAGATGCGTTTCTTGCAGGCAGCAGAATGTTGGGTTCAATTTTCTAATCCATCCTGCCACTCTATGTCTTTTAATTGGTGCGTTTAGCCCATTGACATTGAGAGAGATTATTGTTATGGGATTTTGTCCCATTGTTCTGTTAAAATTTGGTGTATTTGAGGGGCCTTTCTTGCCTTAAAGTAGCCCATTTAGTTGTTCTTATAACCATGGTTTTGAGTCTATGAAGTTCCTGAGCTGTTGTTTGTCTGTGAAACTGCGTGTTGTTCCTTCTATTATGAATGAGAGTCTTGCTGGGAAAAGTATTTTTGGGGAGGCATTTATTTCATTGAGTTTTTTTACTATGTCCCACCACTGTTTTCGGGCCATGAGGGTTTCATCAGAAAAATCAGCTGTGAATTTTAAGGATGCTCCTTTGTAAGAGATTTCTTTCTTCGATCTTGCTGCTTTCAGAATTTTGTCTCTGTCTAAGGTTTTGGTCATTTTGATCAGAATGTGTCTTGGGGTATTTTTATTCGGATTTCTTCTAGCTGGTACCCTTCGGGCCTCCTGAATGTGGTCACAAGTTTTCTTCAGCTCTGGAAATGTTGTAGCAATGATGTCTTTGACAGTTTCTTCTTCATCGAGGTTTTCTTCCTGTCCCTCTGGGACTCCAATAATTCTTATGTTACCCCTCTTGGCTTCATCACGATCTTCTCTTGCCATCTGTTCCCGAATTGTGAGTCTCTTTTCCATTTTCTGCTCTTTTCTGGAGAGTCTCTGAACTTCATCTTCGAGCTCACTGATTCTGTTCTCAGCCGCTCTTACTCTGCTGCTGAGGCCTTCCACTGAGCTTTTCAATTCGCCTACGAGATTTTTCAGGTCTGACATTTCTGATTGCATTTTCCTCATTTCTGCCTTCAGATCCTCTTGTCTTCTATTGGCATTGCTTTCCTTTGTTTCTTTTAATTCCCTAAGCATCCTAAGTAGCTCCCTTCTGAATTCCTTGTCAGAGAGGTTGTCTAACACTACAGTACTGTTGGTGTCATCTGGGCTAGACTCTTCAATATGAAAGTTTGGTGGGCTTTTGCGTTGCTTTACCATTGTGAGAGGTGTGGTTTAGTCCTTCACGTTCACTGTTACTATTCTGCTTGATATGCAGTGTGAGTTAAGATAGGCTTATGAGTTATTGGCTACTGTGTTTCTAGTGGCTGAGCTAAAATAGAGAAGTTTCCATCTAAAAAGGTAGCTTATGGTTCCTATGAAATACGTAGTTGGAAAATATTTCACAGCCGCGTTAGCGGCCGCGGCTCCGGAAAGAGTTCCTGGCACTGGGCGAGGAGTTGGGAACGTCTCCTGTTTGGAATTGGAGCCGTTCAGCTTTGTTGCCCAGAGCTGGGCCTCTGTGCCCGTCCCACGCAGATCAGGGGTTGAAAACCGGCTTTCTAGGGGCTGGTTCTAGCTGCGCATGCCCAGAGAGGGACCCAGGCCCTTGGGGGCGGGCTGTACCTGTTGGAATTGGAGCCGTTCAGCTTTGTTGCCCAGAGCTGGGCCTCTGTGCCCGTCCCACGCAGATCAGGGGTTGAAAACCGGCTTTCTAGGGGCTGGTTCTAGCTGCGCATGCCCAGAGAGGGACCCAGGCCCTTGGGGGCGGGCTGTACCTCATATTATTTTTTAAATAAGTATACTTAACTTTGTCTCAGCAAGTAACGTTTCACCTCTTTTCCTTCCTTTGTAATATATGCTATATATTCTCATGGTCAAATCTACTGGGATGGGGGGGATAGGGGTTGGAAGGGATACTGGGATCCGTGGTGGTGGGAAATGGGCACTGATGGAGGGATGGGTATTTGATCATTGTATAATTGAAACCCAAGCACAAAAATTTGTAAGTCTACAAATGTACCTCATGGTGTCTCACTAATAAAATTTAAAAAAAAAATCTACAAACCTAAACAGAATGTACTCTAATCTTCTCTTTCTTCCTATTTATATTAAAAATACTCTGCCGAACATCAAAATAATTTTCAAGGACTTTTTTTTTAAAAAATCTTTTTTCTGCTTATTGTTCTATATGTTGGCAATTACATAGTTTGTAATTTTAGCCCAGACTTCACCATAAAGTGGCTGGTCTTAACTTTTACTTTCTTAGTTGATATCTGCTAATAATAGATGTCTCAAAATTATGCTTAAAAGAGATGTCTGCCTTTTGTTGATATGTTCTATTTCTAAAAACTCACATTGTCAATTTAGACTTACTTAGACCAGTACTCCAAGAGTCATCTTTTAATCTGCTTTTTGTTTTACTATCTACAACCAATCAAGAATAGTCAACAACCCCTAATATTTACCTATGATATCACCATATTTGCCTATGTCTTCTGTTATCATTCTCACCTATCTTTAAACATCTTTTCTCATGTAGAACATAATTTTTGCTCTGCCTAATGATTAATCCCTGGTCAATCCCATTCTCTATATAATAACCAAGTAACTTTTCAAACATACAGAGATAATCATATCACATACATATTACATACATATAAAACAGTTTAATAAGAATTGAAACAACATTGTTTAAAACACCTTTTTTTATAGAAGTTAAATTTCATACCTCCTCAAAGTATGATACCAAACGTTAGTCACTATCAAAGGATGAATATTCCTCTACCACAGTCCATTAGATTCTCTCCACCTTTTGTTCTAATAAAACCCATTAATACTATTTCACCATGCTTGCAATTTTTAGAGCTAAGCACACCATCTTTACCTTTATCTTAGTACCTTTTTCTATGTTCACTATGCTCCGTACACATCAGAAATTCTGTTTCTGAAAAACTGCCATTCTAACCTTAGAACATATTCCCTTGGTCTCTCCTCTAGAAATTTTCTATGCCAAATTCAAATATGGCTTGTATGTCAACTAATACAAATCCTTTGGAAAATATTCTCTATATAAATCACTTTATTCTCTATGTAAATGACTATGAAAAATTGGTGTCAGTCTAATGTTAATTTGTACATAAGCAGGTTAATTTGTAAACCTTAGGCATCATATACTGGACATAGTATAGTAGAGCCATTTAAAAACTTTTAAATGATCAGTAAAAAAATTGGCATAAAATAATGAGAAAATAGAAACTAGAATAACACAACTATTAGGTAATAGTGAACTGAATATCCCAAGACTGAAAGCGAAATAAGATTGGTTTAAATACGTGATAAGCAAAACAGGCATATTATTAAATTGTTTACACATAACTATATATAATAATATAATACTGTATTAATATATTATTTTGGGCTGGAGCGATAGCACAGCGGTAGGGTGTTTGCCTTACAAGCAGCCAACATGGCCGACCCGAGTTCGATTCCTCCGCCCCTCTCGGAGAGCCCGGCAAGCTACCAAGAGTATTCGATATGCCAAACACAGTAACAACAAAGTCTCCAATGGAGACGTTACTGGGCCCGCTCGAGCAAATCGACGATCAATGGGAGGGCCTTTTAATATATTATTTTATACAAAAATACATTTATAAAATACTCATTTATAAGATAAATATGTATTCAGTTCAACAAAATATTTATCACATATACATATATAAAATAAAATGTCATAATTTTCTTAGTGAAGCATAGTTATTGAAGTGATTTGGGGGAAGCACGTCAGGATGTGACCAGGTTACAATGGAAGATATCATGTATTAGAGGGTTTAGAGGGTTGAAGCATCCAGTTCCTTTCCTTCACCTCCAAGGATGAGAGAGAGAGAGCTTGAATCAGTACTCAATGGATAATGAGTTAATAAATTATGCCATGAAATAAAGATTCCATTAATAATCCAGTAGGAAGACACTTCAGATAACTTTCTGATCAGTGAGCATGTGAAGATAGGGGAGAACAACATGCTCAGAGAGGTTATGAAGTTCCATGCCTTTACCCTTGACATTATACTAAGTTTCTCTTTCATACAATTTTTCCTGAGTGATGCTCTTTGTGAGAAAGTGGTGATCTATGAGGTGACATAGATAATACAACAGGCAGGGCACTTGCCTTGAATATAGCTGAGCTGGGTTTGATCTCCAGCACCCCATATGGACCCCCAGCCTCTTTACTAAGTGATCCCTAATGCAGAGCTAGGAGGAAACCCTGAGCATTACTGGGTGTGATTCAAAAACATAGAGGAAAATGTAGGCAAAAGCTTCCATAACATTGAAGCTAAAGACATCTTTAAAGATGAAACCCCACTAATGAATGAAGTAAAAGCAAAGATAAACAAATTGGACTACATGAAACTAAGATGCTTCTGCACCTGAAAAGGAACAGTGGTCAAGTTACAAAAGAAAAAAATCCAGCCCCATTAAAAAATGGGGAAAAGAAATGAACAAAAACTTCCTTAAAGAAGAAAAACTTTCTCAAAGAAGAAATTCAAATGTCCAAAAGACACAAGAAAAAATACTATACATCACTACTAATCAGAGAGATGCAAATCAAAACAACAATGAGATATTATCTCTAACTACAGAGACTGGCACACATCAAAAAGAACAAGAACAACCAGTGCTGGAACAGATACAGGAAGAAAGGGGTTCTCATTCAGTATTCGTGGGACAGTCAACTGGTCCAAGCTTTTTGTAAAAAAAAAATGGGAATTTCTCAAAAAACTAGAAATTTAGCTCAAATTTGACCCAGCACTACCACTTCTGGAAATATTAAAAACACACAAAAGAAATGCCATCTGCACTTCTATGCTCATTGCAGCACTGTTCACAATAGCCAGAATATGGAAAAGAACTCAAGTGCCCAAGATCAGATGACTGGATAAAGAAGCTATGGTACATCTATACAATGGAATACTATGCAGCAGTTAGGAAAAATGAAGTAATGAAATTTTCCTATAAATGGATGGACCTGGAGAGTACCATGATGAGTGGAAAGAGTTAGAAGAAAAGGCACATATGTAGAATGAATTCACTCATTTATGGTATATAAAAATAGTATGAGACCGATATCCAAGGCTAGAAAAAACAGAGACCAAGAGCACAGGTTAATAGTTGGAAGCTTGCCACAAGCATGTGAGGGACAAAGGGCAGTTAGGATAGAGAAGGGGCCAGTATGACAAAAATAGTTAGAAATGATCACTCAGAACAAGAATTAGTGTTTAAAGTAGGTGAAAGTAGATAAAGAAGTATACATGATAACATTTAGTATCTGTATTACAAACTGTAATGCCGAGAGAGAGAGAGAGAGAGACAGAGGGGGAGAGAGAGAGAGAGAGAGAGAGAGAAGAAAATTGTCTGTCATTACCTCTCACAGAGGAAGTGGGACATTGGTGGTGAGAAATGTACACTGGTGAAGGGATGGGGTGGGTGTCATTATATGACTGAAACCCAATCGTGAACAACCTTGTAACTGTATATCTCACTATGATTCAATAAAATAAATAAATAATTTAAGGTGATCTAGTGATTAAACAGATTTATGAGTTCTTTAATTTATTTTAGTAAATTTATGAAAGTTTGTTAATAAAAAAGAAAATTAGGTTGAGCAGCTCTCCAAAATCATAGAAAGAACATTATTTTGAAGACCCGCACAGAGGTTAAGGTCTTTGCCTTACATTTGATCAACACAGGCTCAATCCCAAACTGCTCATAGTTTCCCAAGCATCTCCAGAAGTGATTCCATAGTGTAGAGCCAGGAGTAATTCCTGAGAACTGGTGAGTATGCCCATTTGTGCCCCACCCCCAGAGAATGTTGATTTATGTTAATTAGTTATTAAGTGAGGAGACATGTTTCAAACTGGGAATTAAAATTTTACCAACTACCACTTTTCCATGCAAAACAAGTAAACAGCAGCTAGTCTGAAGAGAAATCCTTGACATCTGGCATCTAAGAATAAATGAAACCTCCCATCTGGCTGAAAGCTTTTGAGATCTCACTTTCTATTCAAACTGTCACAAGAACTGCAGCTAGATCATAGAACTCAATGTTGCAACAATGGACAGCGTCATTCAGTTTCACTGATTAAAAGTGGATGCTTTCCTGCTATTTTATAATCTTAATTTCACAAGATTCTGATTTAACCTGGAAGATATGCATAAGCAAAAGTACTCTATGTATTAACAAAGCTTAAACAACTGTGCTTTTCTAAAACCTATTATGTCTTATCTATATAGCGTCTATTTTTACATAAAACAATTTGAGAGGTAGCAAAAACCTGTATTTAAATGTTAAATACAGTATGAAAATGTTCTGCATGGTATTAAGTATTTGAAGCAAAATGGCATTTTTTCAAGTGCAACATTACTAATTAATCCCTTTTCTATTTTCAACTTTAATGTACTTCTTTAGGATAAGAAACAGTATGCCTCTGAACACATATTTAGAATATTCTAAATACGTAACAGAGTTGTTGGGGAATAGAAGAACTATAAACCCAAGATGTGATCACTTGCTGATTTTCACTTTTTTGACTCAAAGGTTAATTAACTTTGAGGTAAAGTTCACTAATTAGTGAAATAGTCTATTTTTCTAGAACTTATTATTTGAGAAATAAACTGATTTTAATTACTTAGAAATTGCTAGATATAAGCATCAACGAAAGATTTCCACATATTTTTAATTAAATTGACCTTAAGCAGTCCTGTAATGTTTATTTCAAGAACTAGCTCACTGTGTGATCACTTCTAGGACATTTGTATGATTTGAAGCATCTTTTAGGCATAATCAACATTCAAAGCATCATTATGCATATTGTTTGTGTATCATGAGAGTCTATAAAATATATTATGCTGTGCAAATGATAGCAAAGAAATGTACTTCATTTATGTGGTTCCCATCTCATATAACTAATTACCAATATAATACATGTATTATTAATCATCGCACATTGCCTTTATATGAAATATTTTCTGATATATGTATGTATACATATACATAGAATAAGCTTTTGTTAATGTTATGCATTCTTGGGAGAGAATATTTTGAGAATTCCAGAAAACTGCTTAGATGCAATATGAAGATGATATAGATAAAATCTTCAATTCAAAAATATTTTGATTAAAACTAATCCACAAAACGAGAAATGACATCTCAACCAAAATGTTGAAAATTTTATAGTATTAGAGGTTTTGCATGTATGTAAGAGATGGTCACTTCATTTTTATCTGGAAAATAATTATAGGCAGACAGATATAAATGACTATAGATTTCTTTATAAACAAACATTTGTTTTAGGGTTTTTTTAAGACAAGAAAATAAATCCGTGTAGGAAATGGAAAATTTTTCAACCTGTCATTCATATTAAATTTATTAATGACTGTTTGCTCCCATGGAAAATTTAGGTCTTAACAATTTATTCTCTAATTATTTCCCTTTTATGCATTCATCATTT